TCAGACTTATATATGAAAGCCTTCTGTAAATTCTCTAGTTGGATAGGGTGAGAGCCTGTCCGTTTGATCCTTCACGTGGTGGGATCAGGTAACAAGCTGCAGCTCTGTGAACTGCACCATACCGAAGCGCACAGGCTTTCTCAAAGCGATTTCCCGAATTCCTTCCTGACCAGACACATCAGAGTCTGTGCTCTGGTGTCCAGAGAAGGAATTGAAATGAGAAGCGAGCCCACCACCTCCATGAACCATGGATAGAAAGGGTCCACATGGGAGCAGCAGCCTGGCCATGCTTCAGTGGGTGTTGGTGTCAGAGGACCAGCACGGGGCTGAGGCTGGGCTGCTGGGCTGCGCAGAGCCTTCCTGTGGAGAAGCAGAGGGAGCCAGAGCTGTCAGGACAGACAGTGCGAAGGGGAATAACTGCCAATGACGCGCTGTGTTAGCATATCATACTGGAAAGGAGAGCCACGGGAGAGCTGGGAGCACGAGGAAGATGTGGTAGAAACTCTGAACTCCGTCTTCCGACAAACCCAGTTCTAATCCAAATTGGCCTCTTGAGCCAATGTTTTCTTAGGCAACGCTTACTGGACACGCATGGCGCAGTGGAAAAAGTGTGAGCCTGGAGTCCAGGGAGGAAATGTGGAATGCAGGCCCTGTTTCTGGACCTGCCATTGAGCCAGCGTGGCAGGCAAAGCCGTCTGTCCAGCCTGGCTCTCTCCCAGCACTTCTGGAGCTCTTTCTGCCACATTTTTTGCTTCGCTGAATTCTTGTCGATGCTCCTTCAGGTTAAGAGCACAAAAATAAATTAAAAGGTGCTTTCATCCAAAAATCTTCAAAGGGGTTTGAAATTGTCTTGTCTGCTCTTAATTCTTTCCCCAAGTCTAATTGTTGCTCAATCTTCCTTGGCTGGTCATGTGGCTTCTCAGCTTTGAGTGTGCTAGATCAGATGCACATGATTACATTTTAAGTAACCGTTTCCTGTCCATATTCCTCAATTGAAAGCCGCTTCTTTTTTTTTTCCTTTTGGCTAACAACTTCCAATTCCTATTTCGTGCCTTTTCACCCTAGGTAAGATCTTACTGTTTAAAAATCATTCCGGTCAAGCTTTTTATGTAGAGAGTTCGAAAATATCTTTTCTATCTCCTGAAATTTTCATGGGAGACATTTTAGGGCACTTCTTGACAAAAACTATTGATTCTAGAGCTGTCCATGGATTTCATATTGCTTTATTTTTTCAATAGTCCCTTATTGACAGTAATATTTTCCCTTCCCTCCCCTTCCTTTCCTTTTATTTTCAGTCAAGGAAAAAAAAAAAACCCTCCCCTCCAGTTTCTCAAAATGGTAAAGAGTTAAAGTAAACTGGAGTTTTCACACATTCCTTGACATTGATCTCAGCTTCTGGGAAGTATCAGACACTTGTCATCGCTGAGACAATGTAGTTTAAACCACACTTCAAACAATGCTCACAAAGGATGAAGCTGCTACCATTATGGAGCTAACAAACATGGCTGTTGTTGGGTTTGTTTGGTTTTGGTTTTTATTTGCTTGTTTTTTGCACTCTTTGCACTTCCTTCCATGCCCATCCTCTTCTCTGAAGTAAATTGGTGCTTCCAGGAGATGTGTTTCATTGTCATGAAAAATCCTATGTTAACAAAACATTTTAAATGCCGTGTTCTGTAGGCTTTGAAGTGTTTGAAAATCATCTATCTGTCTAAAATATACTTTTTCAACCTTGAAAACATACCTAATGTGACTACAGGTTTGATTATTATAGATTAACTGCTAACCTCATTTCTTAATTATACATTGCCTTTTAAATGAGCTACTTAACACAATACCCCAAGCAAGAGTAGAAACATATAACTCTAAATTTGTGTGTCAATATACCAAAATCTATGCCAATGCAAAATATCTGAGATTAATGGTTGTCTTGTTATCCTGTAGTTCTATATTCCCCTAAATGATAACAAACATCCACAAACAACCAAAGACGACCCACCCCACCTCTTGGGAATGTGGGCATCATGTTCCCCAGACTGCTTCCTGTTGTCTGTGGGTGAAGGCATCTTTAGAGGTCCCTGAGAAAAAACGAGATAGTTGCTAAGTCCTGGGAAGACCAGCAGTGATCTTTGTTGATATATATTACCTGTCAAGATTCAGGAGGTCTTCCCTAATCAAACATGACTCATACTAACCTGGAAGGAATCTACAGTCTCCTGTGGGAACAAACGCAAAAAGCCTCTTCTTCAAAGCATTTTTGACTTCCATTTTGAAGTTAAGGCATTCCTAAAATATCTAGGCTGGTTTATTTTAGCTGTCCCTCTTTCAATCCTGTCTGTCAGGAGCAGTCTTTTGCTCATCAGCATTCAAAAAATTCAAAATCAGCACAATAACATTCAGGATCCAGACTCCCCATGTATTTTCCATTGTTATGTGGCCCTTTTTTTTTCTGTTACTTTTACTCCCCCTTTAAAGACTTGTCTTTCTTATTTTTAAACTATTTCTTTCTTTCTATGACTGTCTATACCCATATTCTTTCTTTCTTAAGTCTATATACACTGGAACCTGCTTAGAATTTTTTCCCCCCGTCTGGATCTATCTTGACTGTGTATCTCTTAGAGATTCTTGACCATGTGAACAAACTTTAAATGACTAAGCTATATCTGGGTCCTCCATGCAGCTTTATTGGCTGGTTCTGCTCCTCACTCAGGTCATGAAAGCCAAGCCAAAAGCTCATGGCCTGGTCAAAGGTACATTTGACCAGGAACTGCATTCAGCGCCCCAACTCTGAAATGCCAGTGCTTTGCACTGTGGCAGGCATTTTTTTTACTTAGTTTTATGTTTCTATTTAGTGTGAAAAAGGTTGCTCAAAGCCTCACTGTCTGGCAGAAACTTTTAAAGGAGACACATCCTTTTTGTTGTTGTTGTTATTTGTTTTAGTTTTCTCAGGCCTTATTTGGAAATTCCCCCACATTGGTTGCCCCCAAATATTGTTGTTGTTGCTGTTGTTTTCACTCTTTTGGGGGCCCATCACTCAGCTCTCACATAAATACAAGGAAGCTTATTCTTTCTTATGAATGCCTAGCCTTAGCTGGCATATTTCTAGCCAGCTTTTCTTAACTTAAATTATCCTATCTACCTTTTCCCTCTGGGCTTTTACCTTTCCCTATTTCTGTACACTTTTCTTTACTTCTTACTCTGTGGCTTGATATATAGCTGAGTGGCTGGCCCCCGGAGTCCTTCTCTCCTTCTCTTTTTGCTCCCTTGTCTTCTCTTCCCAGATTTCTCCTCCTATTTATTCTCTCTGCCTGCCAGTCCACCTATCCAGTCTCCTGGCTGGCTATTGAACATTGAGCTCTTTATTAGACCAATTAGATATTTTAGACAGGCAAAGTAACACAGCTTCAAAGAGTTAAACAAATTCAGCATAAAAAAAATGCAACACACCTTTGCATCATTAAACACATGTTCCACAGCATAAACAAATGCAGCACACTTTCAACTAATCTTCCAGAACACAGGGCTGAGAAGATAGCTCTATGAAACAACTGTGGATAGGACACTTGTGATGGCTAATCCTTGTGACCAACCTGACTGATGTAAAATTCCTTAGGAGAAACACATCTTAGTGCGTTTCCAGAAAGATTTTATTGAGGAAGGAGGATTCTTTCTGAGAAGTGGGTGGCAGCATCCCTTAGACTGAGGTGCTAGACTGAATTAAAAAAAGGAAAAGGAGAAAAATTAGAAGAATATTACTATTCCTCCCCTCTCTGCTTCCAGATCTGCTAGGATGTAAGCAAATATCTGCTGCCATGAATGGGATCTGACCTTGTTCTCATGTGGTGAACTAGATTTCCTGAACCATGAGTAAAGTGAACCTTTCCCTTAGGAAGTTATTTCTTGTCTGACGTTTAGTCGCCAACACAACAACAAAATAACAATACAGTATGGCACTAGAGTGTGCTAGAGTGATATGGGCGTCATGAACAAGTAGAGTCAAGCGCAAAGTTTCTTTCTTATACTTATGTGGTATAAGTTGAGAAGGGTTTGCTTCTATGTACATTTTTATTGCAGATAATCTGTGCCACGAACAAATGTTGTCTATTGATAGAAAAGTTAGAGACTCTTGGAAAACAAGTAAGAATGATACAAATGCCCTTAGTAACTTGAGTCTGTAAACCCTTACATAGCCTGACTTTCAGAGTTATATAGGAACCAGATAAAGTCTATGATATTATGAGGGCATCATGGTTATTCAAATTATCTCTTATTGTCCAAAATAAAATGCTGACAGAAATGCAGTGTCTGTGGCTGTTAGCTGCTCTGACAGCATGATAGAAAATCATTTAACTATGTACAGACCCAGAAAATACAGAATGATGAAAATACGGTTAAGAATATACACAGAAAGCCAGACAGTCTCTCGAGTAACTTTGAAACAGCCCAATTCTCCTATCATCACAGAGTAGATGTGGCCAGTGAGTTAGCTCAGGGGGGTGATTATAAGGATTGAACAACTATGGCACTGTTTAAAGGTTTGACACATTAGAATTCTTCTACCAAGAAACAGTCATTATTAGGAAGCTGCACTATCCTGTCTCACTGGATGGGAGTATCTTAGAGCCATGGATGAAGCTACAAACAATGATTCTTGGAATCCTTTAACTCTTCTTTGTCTCATTAACCAACAGTGATCTTTTTCAGACTCACACCCACAGGCTCCTGAGAGTTACAGCTCATGGTATCCTGGACACAAAAGAAGAAAGTAATTGGTAAGTCAACCCACTGGAGAAAAAAATCTTGAAGTATGAGGATATGGAATTGGGTAGTGAAATCAGCAGTTAGGACTCAAATTACCCTGTTGGTTATCTGTAGAAAGTATTTTAGAAGCTATATTTTGTAGAGCTTCATCATTTTTTTCCATTCTTTTTTGCCATTACTCCCTTGTATGAGGATTACCTGTGCTAGCTTTGGGCAGAAATGGGACTCAGCTGATCCTGCTCCACAGTGGAATGAGAGGTGATAGGACTGATATTTTTTGAACACAGGCACAGGCGTTCCAGCAGGTGAAATAACTGGAGGTAAAAAGTGTCTTTGTTAGGTTTTCTATTGTTATGACGAAATATCATGACCAAAAGCAAGCTGGGGAGGAAAGTGTTTAATTGACTGACATTTCCATATTGTAGTCCATCGTTGAAGGAAGCCACAACAAGAACTCTAACAGGTACAGGAACCTGGAAGCAGGAGCTGATGCAGAGGCCATGGAGGGGTGTTGCTTTTTGGCTTGCTCAGTCTGTTGTTGTTTTTTTTTTAAATAGAAGCCAGGACCACCAGCCCAGGAATGGCCCCACCTATAATGGGCTGGGGCCTTCCTCAACAATCACTAATTAAGAAAATGCCTTACAGGTTTGCCTGCAGTGTGATCTTATGAAGGCATTTTCTCCATTGAGTCTCCCTCCTCACAGATGACTTTAGCTTGTGTCAAGTTGACATCAAACTATTCAGCAAAAAGGAGAAAGAGCTGATTCATCTGCACAACAACAACAACAACAACAAACCCCTCCATACCCATGACTTCTAAGGAGGACCCTAGCAGAAGCTATAACATAGGGAAGAACTACATCCCTGCACTACCTGAGTTATGGGGGTGGGGGGCTCCCCCCATGGAGACCATCTGCCTCTCCAGTTAGCCTCTGTTTTCACCTCTTTCCTCCCTTTACCTCTGGCATGGGGTGGGGGAGGAGAAAGGACTCTCTCATTGCTGCTAGTGCTCTGGGTCCCTGTATTATTCTAGCAGTTTCCTAAATTCCATCTGCATCTTGGCCATTTGTCTCTTTGTAAATAAACCCTCCTTAAGTTCTCTGAAGTGCCTGGACCATCTGTTTCCCGTGAGGAAGGTCTCCCACTGACATTTAGATGGCCGATAACAGACATGCCAAAACCAACTTTAGAACACTCAGAGGCAAACTTGGCAAGTTTCATGATTTTTAAAAAAGTTATTTTTTTTAAAGTTCACTAAGAATTTTCCTTTATTGTGTATCTTTTGTAGAAAAGATATCACTGGGTCATCTAAGAGAACATAGGTTTTGGCCTCCAGTCATTTATGAAATGGCCCTGTGCTACTGCTGACCATTAGCGTTGCTAAATAGCCCAGCCTTGGGAAAATGGAGGCTAGAGCAATAATACTTCAGAGGCGGAAGCAGACCATGCCTTCAGCTGCTTCGGTTTCCAACCTGTCTAACGTTACACCTGTGCCAGTGGAGACAGCAATTTCTTGAAGTCTTAAATTGGCCTAACTAAACCATCCCTTGATCAGTGAAGAACCATTTCCCATAATAATCTTTCAAGTCCCCCTTCTCCTCATCTTACGTTCATATACTTACTCTGAGTCAGCTTGACATTCTGTAAATTGTATCCTTTTGAGAATTTTCAAATATGATGGTGGATTTTTACAGACCCACCTGAGGTCACTGTTTATTTTTTTTCTGGTGGCTGGTGACAAGTAATAAGAGCATGTAAATCACCAGCAATTAAATTTCCCATCTAGTTACCCATCTATTTATGTGCTAATGAACTCTACCAAACTATGGAAACATAAACCCAGTAAGTAAAATCTATTAGGTTCTCCGGCTCTTACCTAAACACTGAAAACAAACAAAGCAAACATAAAAGAACTTTTTCATGTGCCAGAATCCAGCATCCAGGATCACGAGGTAGCCAAGAGAGAGCGAGCACATATGCATTTCAGGTCTTGAGGGGTTCCTGTCTTGGCCATGCCCCGGGGGCACGTACCTAGAAGTTACCTGCTGCCTGCTTAGGAGAGGTGCTTCAGGTATGAATCACAGACAGCCACCCCTACATAATCCAGTCCCAGTGACTTCAACACCCTCTTCTGGACTCCTTGAGCACAAGACATGCACATGATGCACAGACATACATGCAGAAAAACCACCCATGTACATAGATATATGATTAAAACAAAAGAAATTTCTATTTGGGAGATTAGAGGCATAAGTGGTGAGATTTATCTTGATTAAATCTTTTTGGGTCATTAACTATCTCACACTTAAACCAGTAAGTTCCCCTCTCTTATACCGTGGCAAAATTTCCCACCTGGGCTTATGCCAATATCTCAAAACTTAAGAATTTTACAAGGAAAGCAAGCATTCCTTCTTCTTATTCTTCTTAAAAAAACAAAAACAAAAAAACAAACAAACAACAAAAAAAAAAACCACAACTCTGCACACGTCACTGAAAGCAAGAGCAATGTTCTTTTAAAGGGAGGTTCCCTTGCATCCACTCTAGTGCTTCACCATAGCCAATGATGTAAGTGATGGGGAGAGGGCTATGCACCATGAGCATCCTGCAGCGGGCTGATGTTAAAGCCGGGCCCTCTAGGTACAAAGTTTGCTTTCAGAAAGTCTGAGTCCAGTTCCCATGTCACTGTTCACTTTCTTTGAATATCATTTTATTTTAAACTTAGGAGTATAAGCTTGTACAGGGTTATTAAAGGATCCAAAGAATAAGATTTTGTGCACAAATGACTAGTAAAAACAAGTATAGAATTCAGGCTCATTAATAAACTCTACTCCTCAGTATTTTTCTCATGCATGGCTTTTTTTGAAATAGCACGTTTTCTTACACTGTATCATGTTGGAATTTTAATGAACTTGTATTGCCATGAATAGAACACTATTTCATTGTAACATCAATCACAACAAGTTTGTTTTAATGAGAATAACCCATACACTGAACACTCATATACTCTAGGCCCTGAGTTGGTCATCCTTAATTTGGATAGCCACCTGATGGATTTGGTGAATTTTCAGAGGTCTTTGTTTTATTATATTCTCAAATCACGGTTTTATTATCTTGTGTTAAATACAGAAATCATTATTGAAGTAGTGAGAATCTGGGATAAGTTTCTTTTGCCCATCTTTGGAATCTGATGGAAAGTTTGGTTTGTGTTTCTCAGGGATTCATTTGCTTTCTATGCAGTTAGCTTGATATTTGCATTGCATTTCCATTATTCTATCTTTAGAAGAAAGGATTGTGCCTTGCATATTTATCTTCACATCTCTGACATAAGCAGGACAAGTTCCTTTTGGAGGAAGACTAAGGCCCAGGTTTAATGAATTGAGTTGACTGTCAGGAATACCACACTGCAGTTCTGCCCATTCTGCTCACTACCCGTGGTACAGTTGACTGACACCTCATGCCTCTGTGCCTCACTTTCTCTTTTTAAGAGATGGAACAGGTCTTAAATGCTGCCAAAATATAAGAGAGTCTTAGCCAGTAATTCCTCACACAGCGTCCCCAGCACAACACTATTTGGAGTGTGTGGAATACGTTGATATCCCAACAGATCAGTTTCCATCTGCTACTGACCATCTTCATCCTAGATGGTTTAGATTTCTGTTTTCCTCTGGCTCTTTGCATTAGCAAAGCTGCAGAACTGTTTTTTGTCACAAGAGCATTGGCGACTGTTCCCAGGTGGTGCCATCTCTACATGCTAACCCACTCTGAAGATGCTGCATTTCAAAACTTTTTTGTGTTTGAGCATGTGCATTACTTTGCAATGTTCCCAGAGGTCGGTAACGCTGACTCCCTTTCTGAAACCCTTTCTGAAACTGTACCATTTCTTTAGCTGTTCATTCTGAGACAAAGCACACAACCCCCTCCCGCCACATCCATGTTTTGCTGAGCTGATCTTTGTCAGGAGGGTGTGACTATAAACTCATAAAAACAGGGTAGTCCACAGAAAGCACCTAACCAGTCCCACCTGGAAAACGCTACTCAGTCTGGGACAAGCGGCACTCACTGTTTGACCGGGCAGGCCTTCAATCTGGGGGCTAAATAGGTCTGCATTTGTCTCTCCCTGAGCCTGGAAGAAAGAGAACTTGTTATTGAGGAGGAGGGGAGAGAAGGGAGGAACGAGTTAAGCCCTCAGCATCTTAAGTTCTTTTTCTCACTTCTTTTTCAAATGAGCACACCACGTTGAATAGCATGTGGAAAATTGGCCTTTCCAGTGAATGAAAACGAACTGGCAGAGAACAAAAGGGATAGCAGAGGAATGCTGCTGGATGCCCTTTGGCTTGGCTCGGCTTGTCAGGGAGGAACACGTGACGATTCCAGCGTTTTTTAAGACGCGTTTTACCTACAGCTCTGCCTCCTGTTTAGATGCTGCTGATTGCCTGAAGACTGTTTATGCAGTGAGGTTCTTTAAGGGATGTTTTTTCTTTTCTTTTTCTGGAAGTTAAGAATGAAAAGGAAGATGTTAAAAGTAGTATGGGAAAAACAACTGTTCAAGTGTTCCACTTCAGAAAATTTGTTCACTTTGGGGCTTTTTTTTCAGGAGTGGAGGTGGGGGTAGATTTAAAAAGCCAGAAGAAAACTGACAATGTTCTCTGTAGAGTTCTGCCTTTGAACTTGATTGCTATTCTATTTTTTTCAAAAGATGCTTATGTTTTTAAAGAAAACATCTTTTTGAGCATTAGAATACTTTCACTTATTCCCAGTAGTTTTTGTACAGCATACTGTATGTGTTTAAAGTATTTCCAATTAAAACTTCACTTCATCCAATGTATTTAAAAATAATCATACTGATGTACGCATAATGCTGTGAAATGATGGATTTTGGAAAAGAATCAGTAGCTAATCTCATGGCTGTCTTGTTTCTTTGGAACAAAAATCCATGTAATACAAAATACAAGTTATCTAGTCTCATTCACATCGGTGTCCCTTCATGCACAGAATACATGCTTTCTTGGGCTAATTTTAACCTGTCTTGTTATTGAAGCAAATAGAGTCAAGAGAGGACATATGCTTAATAACTGATCAACTTTCATGAAATCTACCTCCATAAAAAGATTGCTCAAGCTTAGATTTTAGTGACAAGGGTGCCAAATAACTCATATTGTACCTGTACATCATGACTTTTCCAATAGCTTCCAGGTCATGGGGGTTCTACTACTCTTAGGCTATTATTAAACTGTAGTGACTGGTCATATATTTTTGTGTTCAGCTTTCAAAACAATTGTACATTGACTTCATAGAGCTGTGTATAGTGAGGAAAAAATTACTTACGAATAGTACTGTTTGGTAGAGCCTGGTTAAATTTGTATCAGGTTATAGGCATCAGAAAGGAAAGAGCCTTGAGAATCATAAAGTAGTTGAATGGGTAGAGAAGTTCCTATTACTTTATACAGCTCCTTTATCTTATAGATGAGGAAACTTTGGTCCAAAGATAAGAGTAGTTCCATAGCAAAGTGTGGGCCAATCTTGATCAAGATGCAGTTTTCCCAACTCTCAGACATTGCACTCTGTGTTGGAAAAACATTTCATGAACAAGTGTGATTGCCTTGTTTCTTATTAGGTCCTTTGCATCTAGAACTCAAAAGGAGGAGGCCCCCAAGATCTGGGTTGAGAAGACCAGAGTAGATATCAAACCACTATTAGGGAACAGAGGCTGTGCTTGTTCTAGCCAGGAACACAATTGCTACAAACAATGAGACACTCCACCCCTTCCCCGAGTGATTATATCATTTCGATGAGTTTTTGAAAAAAGTCCACATTCCTTTGCTGAAGGCAGATATTCCTACAGGACCAAAACAATAAAGAAAACTGCTTTTATTTATTTATTTTACTGAAGTCTTTTTCCTCTCCTATCCCACCTCTCTTTCTCATTCTGGTGTGCATACATGATAGCATACTTAAGAATATTTTTTTAATTATTTAGAACACGAGTCAAAAAAAAATTCAAAAGTTCCCATTACATCATACAAGCCAAGAATAATTTTTATGTTCTGAACTAGATTTATGACATGGCTGACTGTTCTGTTTGATTTTGTTTTTTGGTTTTTTTTTAGAAAAAATATTTAGAAATTATGTATCACAACATAGTTAACAGACACCAAGAGGTTAATGGCTGTAGCAGCAGGTGATTAAGAAAGTTCCAGAAACTCCTTTGCATGCACTTCCAAATCACTTCTCATCTGAATCAGTCCAATGTGTTTAGCTTTCAGAGAGCAGTTTAAAGCCCTGCCAAGTTCAAGTTGGCATTCTAAGAGAACACTGAATCTTTTTGACCAAGTTTCTTTCATTTTCTTTCTTTCCTTCTCTCTTTCTTCCTTTTCTTTCTCTCTCTCTCTCTCTCTCTCTCTCTCTCTCTCTCTCTTTCTTTCTTTCTTTCTTTCTTTCTTTCTTTCTTTCTTTCTTTCTTTCTTTCTCTTATAGTTGCTCAGAAATTTGCAAAGTAAGGCAAAATAGTTACTTTAAGGTGGGAAAGAGCTTGCCTATAAGTTTTTGATGCATATTCTCAAAGACTAGTACTCATTTTGAACACTCACATTTTACTCTGTTTTGAACACTCACATTTTACTCTATTTTGAACACTCACATTTTACTCTATTTTGAACACTCACATTTTACTCTATTTTGAACACACACATTTTACTCTGTTTTGAACACTCACATTTTACTCTATTTTGAACACACACATTTTGCTCTCTTTTGAACACTCATATTTTACTCTCTTGAGTGCTCACAATAGACAAGCAGCTCTGCAACGTGCTTCTGCTCCCAGTTTCTTGAAACCTGTTGGGTCACAGCAGTCCAACGGTGCACTACAGATTAGGGCAATACAACCCTCCAGGAAACTAATACTGAAAGCATTATTGATAGTCGCATTGTCCTAGGAGTTTACCTGCAAGATCATTGAAGACAAGAGCAAAATCCCTGCTTTCTCTTTGACTATCTCTATCTTATTTTTTTTAATGGTCTTGTTCATAAGGTTAAAAGAAGTATGTTAAATACAGGAAATTATTTACCTTCTCCAAACATAAGTGCCAAATTGGGAATTCTTTGTATAAATATACCCTTTCCATAACATGCTATGTATCCTCCAGGAACCCCAAGGGCCAGTTAGCTCTCTCCTTTCATGCTAAGCAGTGAAAAGCCAGGTGGTATCTTCAGCACTCTCTCTGAAAATCTCCCTGCAGAGGCTACCAATTCACTGGCTGCATTTGGCACTTTCCATGTTAGAGTAGGCAAGGATGTTGCTAAGTTTGTGCCATTACATAACAAGGGTCCCTTTCTTCCAGAATCCAGTAACATTCCTTCCCTTTCCTTCAAGCTCTCCTGGCAGCCTCCTCGAAGGTGGCCAGGTTTCTGAGGAAAGTGTTCTTGAGAATCTTTGAGCTTTCATTAGTGCTCTGCATAGACTCTCTAGCTGTGTTCTGTTATGTTGTCCCCAAAGGCACTGAGACATTTGAGACTGGTGATGAAAACACCCTCCTTCTAAGTTCAGAAACTTTGGAATGATTACACACTGTTGTTTAAGCGATCACCACAGAAACCTAATGACACAGAGGGCTAGAGAGATGGCTTTGTGGGAAAACTGCTGAGCAAGCATGAGGACCTGGGTTTGAATGCTGCATACCCACATAAAAGCAGGCACGGCAGAGTAAATCCATCTGTACCCCAAGTGCTGAAGGAGGTGGCGGGGCGGGGGGGGCAGGGGGACACACTGTGACTGAACCAGCAAAGCCCTCTTTTTCAGTAAAAGACTTGAAATCGAAACCAATGGTCTGAAACTGTACTGTTCTTCATAATTTCTTTGTCAGAATTTTGGAGATGATTTCCTGGGTGGATCTGGTGTGAGGCCCTTCATAAGTGAGAGTTTGACTAGGAAATTAGTGATCCAAAGTGGTCATTGGGCCTAGAGCCTTTTCTTCTACTCTCCATGTGGCTCAGACACCTGCCAGGCAGGGCATGTTAATTTTGGAAGAAGGTCTCAGTTTACCTCGTGGATTTTTCTTCAGGACAACTATTTTTCTGGGGGTCACTCAGAGCCCAGAAGGAGGGCAATTGGAAACTTCTTTCGTTCTAAATAATCTTCTCAAGGGTGTTTGCGTAGCAAATGGCCTTGGTGGATAGGAATAGTCCCTTTCAGAGATACTCACCCTGCAGAGCAAAGGGTAAGGTTTTTCATGTATCTCTGATATAAAAATGATAAAAAAAAAAAAACCTGGATCAGACCACCTACAGTCCTCTGCTGTAGCAACTGAGCTATCAAAGGGAGTAGATAAAGACTCCCTGAAGTGAAAGTAGACCCAGTTTACAGCCCATTGTAAAAAAACGGATTCCCTAAATTCGAAGTTCACCTCCTTTGACACAAGCCACCCCACAGACAAGTTTCACTTAGCTTTCTTTGCTCTGGGCTGTAGGAAGAGGGAGTGGTCCGAGAAACTAGCATTTGTTTTTCCTCCATTTTCTTTTGTCATCGTTTTCAGTAATAAATGTCTTTTGTTACCATGTAATCTCTGTCCTTTGCTGTCGTCCATGAAACCATGGCAGGCTAACAGGTCTTTCACAGTCCTTGACAGGCAGCTGACTGCCCCCAGAATGAGCCATCCAACAGGCCAAGCTGGAAGTTCTCTGAGGTGACCTTTGGATTAGCCAAGTGTTACAAACCCTCATTCCCACAGTGTGGCGTTTTCTTGGCAGACCAAGAAGGGATGGTACAAAGCTCAGGACAGCAAAAAGGACCACTGAATAACATCTCAAAACTGTCCATCACAGCTCCACAGACTGTAAAAGGCTGAGGTAGGGGATATAACAGTGTCCTAGTTTGTGTTCTGTTCATAAACACTGTGACCAATAGCAACTTGGAAAGGAAAGAGTTTATTTCACAGTACAGCTTACAGTCCATCATGAAGGGAAGTCAGGGCAGGAACTGAAGCAGAGGCCACAGAGAAGAGCTGCTTACTGGTCTGCTCTCCATAGTTTGTTCATTCACCTTTCTAATATAATCAAGGATCACCTGATCAGGGGTGTCGATGCCCATCAGGGTCTGGGCCCTCCCACGTCAATCATGAACCAAGAAAATAACTCCACAGACTACCTTACAGGCCAGTTTGATGGGAGCAATTCCTCCATTGAAGTTCCCTCTTTCCAGGTGATTCTAGCAGGTATGGAGTTGACAAAAAGTTAAGTTGGTGATCTAATATTTTCAGTTCATCAAAATAGGATGGTGATATTTTATTTGTGCTTTAATAAATAAAGCTTGCCTGGAGATCAGAGGAAAAAGACCAGCCATTATAAGTAAACAAAGAAGTCAGGCAACGGTAGCAAACGCCCTTAATCCTATCACTTGGCAGGCAGCTGTCTCTGTCATTTCCAGAATTTTAGAAGTTACTTACAATGCATTTCCTGTTTACTTAGGAAATGCTGTATCCTTCTGGGGTCTTTGATGTAGTTGAAGACTAGATAGTTATAATTTTCCTTGGTTATGATAACAGATAAATTAGATATAAAACTTTAGATTCACAAATATAAGAATATTTTCTTTAATTTTGACAAATACAAATAGACTAGATATTGTAACTGTAATTCTTGATTGATGACTGTTCTATTATATGTAATTTTACTACGTTAAAGTTAAAACCTTCCTTTTTGATTAAACAGAAAAGGAGCATGGGGCTGCGGGAGCTGGGCAGGACTAGAGAAAACTTATAATTAAAAAATAGTCTGAACGTTATGGAGCAAAAGCAAAAGGATAAAGTTTGTGGAGTGTGTAGTCAAATTTTCACACACTCATTTGGCTCTCTATGGGTGGGTAAGGGAGGAGAGTGGAAGCAACCCAGGTCATTTAAATATCTGAAAGAAAGGAATTGGCATAGCCTGGGCTACATAGCAAACACTATACCACTCCAGGCTATATCCAAGACTCTGTCTCAAAGGACAGAAACAAAAACTCAAAGAGTTTCTTTTAAATCAACTTTTTTAATTTAAAGGTAAGTCTTACTTTAAAATATTAAAGGATTGATAACCTGACTTAAAAAATGATTTGTACTAACCTTTGGATTACTCACTGTTACATTTGGTTTTGTTAATTGGTTTTGTATGTGTGTGAAAGAGTACGAGATTTCACACAATTTTCATAAAAGGACTGGGATTGAGTCAATTAGCATATTCCATTGAATCCATATTTAAATTTATAAGGTCTACTATATGAATGAAAGAAGGAAAATGTTTTACACAAAACAAAGCCTCTAACCATAAGCAATTCCTTCCTCTAATACTTAGCCAAATAACTCTAATTTGTTTATACTAGAAACACAGATAATATACTGGAGTGTGCCTGTTGAGAAATGTAAAAATAAATACACAGACATTTCACTCTACTTTGCATCCAGCATAAAAGATATTCAAGGTAAACTTTGACACAAACAATTATTTCCCCAAGGTATATATTCATAACCACACAATACCACATTTTTATGAAATTTTAAGGTGAGAGAAAATAGATTGTAGTGATGAGCTCTCTTCCATCTATATGTGCCTGAGCCAGACTGTTGGTTTATATCAATATAAACTGGTTTATATCAATATATATCTGCTTGATTTATATCAATTTGGCTAGCACACCAGCTTCTTTTGAAGCTAAGTGACTGAAACTCATCAAAAAACAAAACAAAGCAAAACAAAAACCAGTCATGGACTCAACAGAAACGATTTCCAAATCCTTACACAGTTATTGTATTTCCTGTCCTGTGAGCATAATGAGGTTAAGGCATTAATTAGGAACACATCCCCCCCCCTTTTTTTTTTTTTTGCATCCCATGGTTAAACTGTTTAATTGAAGGCCTTGAAGCCTTCTTGAGAAAGAAGTCAGCATATGATTTGACCATCTCTCTCTTATTCTCTCTGCTTTGTGCTTCTTCAACATTTGGAATGCAATTCATTTATTCTAGGAGAGTTTGGCATTTCCCCTTTGCCAGCAGCAGGCAAAAGCAGTCAGTGGTAGCTGGGTTTTGTAGATCCTTGGAACCATTGCTTTCTGACACATGTGGATAGCCACTCACTGTACAATATTGGTTGAGTGAGTGCCAAGGATCATGGTAACTGGCTGGGTGCTTAGAAGCAGTTGAGTCAGGGACAGCTTTTGTTTAGGAAGTGTTCAGGAAGCAAGTCTAGGTGAGACAGGTGCACTCCAATCCACCGCCAAAAGAAACAAGAGATAAAAAAGGACCATGGTAAGGTCTTTAGAAACAGCACATGGTGAAGAAGTTATGGGCAGGCCACATGCTCAGGACCAGTTGGCCAACATGATATGGAATGCTCATGTTTGGTTTGCTCTTTGTTTTGTTTGGTTATTTATTTATTTCAGTCATTCAGAGTTTGTTGATTTGTTTTTGCTTTTGGGTGGGTAAGGAGGTGGGGAGGATATGGGAGGAGTTGGGGAGGAAAAAGAATATGATCAAAATATATTGTCTGGAAAAATTAAGCAAATAAATACAAAAAACAAAACAACTATGGAATGTTCACTATTTGTCCAACAGGCAAAAGCCTACTGTCAATTAAGTGCTGAGCTGTTTAAATAAGTCTACTTCTAATGCAAACAGAATGCAGACAGGAAAGACATTATTTCTTAATGGAAGAAATTAGGACAATCTGCACAGGTACCATGGGGTTAGGGTGTGCTAGGAAGGAATCAGACATACAAAATTGAGCTAAAAGGAATAAGGAGAACAGGTAGTCAGTGGATGGAGGGTGTGAGAGGAAACAACTGTATACATTGTAGTGAAGATGAGGCCGAGAAGCTGGATTTCAAATTCTTTGGATAGAAGGGAACCAGTGAGATTTTATTTTCTTTTATTTCTTTTTAAGCAGGACTCTGATGTAAGTTGAAGTTGGCCTCGGGACCTGAAGAACATTTGTTCTTGATGAGGGCTTGATTAAGTCTTCTTAATGCCTTATCCCAAGAAAACCCCAAGAAGACATTATTAGAAAGATTTTAAGTAAGTCATTAGTTATACAGGCTTCTATTTTAAATAACTGGCTCAGGCTATAGATGAAAAGTTTAGATCAGAAGAAATAATATAAGCCAAGAGAAAGGTCAGAGCGCTTAAACCTGAGCAGCTAACACAGTTTGCTCTCTTTGATTGGTTATC